CCAACGTTTACCAACTGTAATTTTAACTGATTCTGATCCAGCTGTTGATGCTGCAGTAAGGAAAGTGTTTCAAACTACATACCTGATTCATTGTGCATTTCATATTACGCAGAACATTCACAAAAATCTTCGCAAGCAACTTGGAAATCAGTATGAGAAGTTTCTTCATGACTTTTACAATTGCAGAAATAGTCTTGTTCGGGAAACATTTCAAAATCACTTTATGAAACTTTTAGAAGATTATCCAAGTGGAAAGCACTACCTAGAAGTTCTCTATAAATCTAAAGAATATTGGGCATATTCATATACAGCATTTAAATTTACTGGGGGAATGATTTCTACATCTCGTGTTGAAGCTATGAACGCATGCCTTAAAAAATTATTATACAATTCTAATGTTTCTCTTTGTGAGCTTATGTCAGAGATTCATAGGTTGCTTGATTAACAAGACAAACAGAATCATTATCAATACTAGAAGCTTGCCATACCATCACTCAAAAACCTTGAGCATACGAATTTTTTATTCACGAAGGTAGATAAATGTTGTCAAGAATTTTTGACACCTGAAATTCTAAATATACAATGTGATGAAATCAATCAATCACTTTATTACATTGCATATTTGGTTAATAAGCAAGATGTACTGTTTTCTGAAGATCTCAATGCTACCCTCTCCAATGATGAAAATCAAATTGCCAATGATCCACAAGCCACTATACATCAGTTATTAGGTGTTGTTGACTTTGATGATGTTAATGAAATATGGGGTATTAGGGTTGGGAACTCTTTAAGTGTTAAGCATTACGTTGTTCTTTTGAAAAATGATGCCCATTTGTGCTCGTGTCTTATGGCTATTCGACAGGGAATTATTTGTCGGCATTATTTCCAGGTGATATTGACCATGAGTAAAGCCAGGTTCCATATACAGCTCATCCTATCTCGCTGGTATCAAGAAGACAAAGATGCGTCGAACGAACCTTTTATTGTTGCTGATAAATTCCATGATGATTCAATTAACTTATTACAAGAGAACAGACCATTCAATTATATATACGCTATTAATAATACTAACAATAACAGTGAACTGCGAATGAATATCTTAGAGCAAAGATTTATGTATGGGCATCTTCATGGTGCATACAAGGTAGCTTTACAAAAAGCATTGTCATCTAAGTCGAAATCACAATGTCTCATCAAAATTTTACAAGAATTCACTGATGAAGATGATGAGCCTTCTGATGGATCCTCTGATGAAGAATATAGTCAAGATAACTCTTCAAGTGATAAGGAAAATGGTAGTATTAGTTTACAAAATCCAAAAAAGCGACGTAACAGAGGAAGACCACTAGGTACGAAATGTTTTAAAGCGTCTCATGAAAATCAAGTTAATGAAAGGCCAAAAAGAAGATGCAAAAAATATGGTAATCTGGGACATTATCAAAAGAATTGTAATGCTTAAGACTTATATTTGTATAAGCGATTGACACAATTGA